CCCTCCGCATCTGTGGAATGAGTGTGTGCTGATCAGAGCCAAGGCCTGGGAACGCCGGGTGCGGTGGGCCTCCTTCAGGCCGTCCCTTCCCAGCCAGGGAAGTTCCTTCTCTATGGAGAGTCGTGTCTCTTGCTCCCTCTCAGCAGGGCCTGCCCAGAGGGGTCACCAAGCTGCCAAACCCTCGGCGCCTCTGCCGCAATGGACGCTCTAACCACATGCCCACTCTCTGTTAGATCCCAGGGGCAGCCCATGGGGGCAAGTTCTTCCACACATTTCCCAGAAAGCGCCAAGTCAATCTGTCTGCACAGGGGAAAAGGAAAAGGGAAAGGGAAAAGCCTGAACTCAAAGCATTTGGAAGCCCTGAGAAACAACTGGATGTGCAGGAGGTACGTGGATGGCTAGGGTAGCAGCAGCTCTTAAAGACGGGACCTCACCTGCTTAGTTTTGCCGGATTTACTTCCGACCTACCCTATTCTCTCTTCCTATGCTTCTTTCGGCTTTGTTTCTTTATAGTTTTACTTTATTACCATAAAAAGGTTTGACATGCTGCTTACACTTTCTAACATGTTAAAAGAACTATTAAAATAAAAAGTGTTGGGGCACCTGGCTGGCTCAGTCGGTAGAGCATACGGCACTTGATCTTGGGGTGAGGAGGTCGAGCCCCACTTTGGGGGTAGAGTTTACTTAAGAAATAATAATAATAAAGTAAAAGTTTTTAAGTGTTTATCCTCAAGATCATCTGAAGGACACCCCTCTACACACACACACACACACACACACACACACACACCGGGGTCACACTTGGGAAAATGCTCCTGGTTGGGTGTGGGGTCACAGAGCCCTGGGGTTCAAGCCCTGGCATTGGCTGAGTGACCTGAGTCTCCCTCTGCAACTCTCCCTGGAACGTCCCAGGCCTGGACTGAGAATTATAAGCACACACAGCGTGGCACATGGCCCATTCTTGGGAGATGCAGTTTCTCCTCTCCGTGAGACAGCGGCCCTGTGATTCAGAGCATTTGTGGTGGGCAGGTAGGGGTAAGAGACCCTCAGACCAAGGAGAGGCAGGGTCTTGGGTACCCCATCCTGGAGACCCTGGGAAGGAGAGGTCAGCTCGGTAACCACACACACCCTGTTTCCAGCGGGAGAGGACAGAGTCCCAACCTCATCTGCCCCCCTGGGGAGAGCTGCCCAGCTTCCCCAGCTTCCCCATCCCATCTGAGGCCCAGGGTTGCCACACTTTTGCCTCATCACCACAGGGCAAAGGGAGGTCTTCCAAGAACAGAGACTAAGAGAGGAGGCCTGAGAGAGAGAGGGGGGCAGGCTTCCTGTACTCAGGCCCACCCACACGGGAGACCGAAGCCCTGCTCCCTCCTGCTCTTGGCCGTGCCCGGGGCCTACACCTACACGTCTAGGGCTTACACCTACAGGCAGGCACTCGTCAGCCACCCCACAGGTGCCCCCCACGGGTCACAGGGCTCATGAGAAAAGGACTGGACTGAAGAAGAGCGGGAGGATGGGGGTAAAGCACTCCTGTTTCATTAGGTAAATCACCTCCCCTCTCCGGGCCTCCTTTCTCCGTCTAGTAAATGGAACAATGAATCATTCACTCAACAAATACTGAGTGCAAACCATGTGCTGGACACAGCAGGGAATAAAACAGAGAAGGTCTCTGCTCTCAGGAACTTAGATTGTGGATGGGGAGACAGACAATAAATAAACAAGTGAAAAGGAAAATTTCCTAAATGCCATGATGAAAATAAAGCAAGGCAAAATGATAGAAGGTTGGAGTAAATGAGAGCCAAGTGCCTTTCCAGGCCACTGTTCTACTTCCAAGGGTCATTTGCTAGAGCTTTGTGCCTAAAAGAGATTTCAGCCCTCTTTTCTTGAGAAGGCCTCTGACTGACCCTCACTCCAGGGCTCCCATTGCTTTCCTAAACCAGAAAAAAAGGTTTCCAAATTTTTTGCCCCCAGTCCCGAAAAACTTTGTTCTAGGCTCTATCCTAGTCCCATTCATTGACCAAGACGTGACCCCATTTATGACTGTAGACCCAGGGCAACTGTGCAAATCTTTCAGAGCAGAAGGCTTTTTACATTAATTCTAATTGAGCAATCTAAGATTGGGGTTGGGGGGAATATCCTGTATTTATTTACTTATTTAATTTCTGAAAGGGAGAGACAGCGTGAGCAGGGGAGGGTCAGAGAGAGAGGGAGACACAGAATCCGAAACGGGCTCCAGGCTCTGAGCTAGCTGTCAGCACAGAGCCCGACACGGGGCTCGAACCCACAAACCGCGAGATCATGACCTGAGCCGAAGTCGGACATTTAACCAACTGAGCCACCCAAGCACCCCAGGGAATATCCTGTTTTTAAATTATCACTATTAAGTGTATGCATTTGTCAAAACTCTGCAGATGTACACTGCATTAGTGTAAGATCTGAGCATTATATATATATATTCTATCTTAAAAGAAAAAAGTACAAATAATGAACTCTAGTTAATGAAATTCTGAAGTAGAGAGAAGTGTACTAAGGACGACAACTTAGTTTGAAGTGCATCTTAAGATGGATAGATGGAGAAACGTATGATAAAGTAAGTACAGTAAAATACTAACGGCAGAATCCAGCTGGTGGGCATATAGATGTTCAATGCAAATTCTTTCCACTTAACTATAGGTTTGAAAGTTCTCATGATAAAATATTGGGGAGGGGGATGAGTGTTTAACTTTACAAAAAAGTACACAAAGCTGCCTTTCATTTTCTGGCAGCTCTCTCCTTGTATGAAGATGTAATCACCTCATTCATGTTATTTCTTCCATATTTCTAAACTTCATATGTATAGTGCCTAATGTCTGCACATCGCAGGAGTTCATATGGGGCATGTTACTTTGGGCGTGCAGGCTTTTTATTGTGTACATTCTCAATGCAGGGCTCAGGGCCCCCGTTGCAGAGAGGGCACATTGGGTTGCACAGCACCAACCCTTTTTCACTGAGAACAGCTAGAGGAGCTGGAGAAAACATTTTTAAAGGGCATCAAAGGACTGCCAGGGCAGTGAGGAATTGTGAGGCCAAGGTTGGGGAGGAAGAACCCCAAATGATGAGCCTAACATTGGGATCTCTTTCCCTCTCCCTGGACCTGTCTGCTGATTCTGATAGAAGGCTGATGGGCTGTGCCTGTGAGTCCCCAAAACAGCCACACTCCCAGTTCTACATTCTTCCAGAGCCTTGCCTCTCCCCTATCAAGACAGAGAGTCCATTTGCCCTTGAAACAGGGTGGGACTGTCCCCCCTTCCCAATAGAATGTGGCAGGTGCTGACTGGATTGGCCCTGTGTGACTTCCACAGCTCGGTTCGGGAAGGCAGCAGAGCTCTGCCTGGCTCCCTTGGGATGCTGTCCTTGGAACCTAGCTGCCATGTTGTGAGCTCTCCTGAGTCACAGGTATTTTGGCCAACAGCCCCAATGAATAAGGTTCCAGTCAACCACCAGCTTCAACCCCCAGACTTGTGAGTTAGCAAGCCTTCAGATGATTTCAGCCCCCAGCTGTCAAGTCACCCCCAGCCTTTGAGTCTTCCAGCTCATGTCCCAAATAGTGTGAAGCAGAAATAAGCCACAGTTCTATCCTGTCCAAATTCTTGCCCCACGTAATAAGTAGTGAGCATAATAAATGGCCGCTTTGCAATGTGATTTATATCCCCTTGGAAGATATTCAAACATATTTTTTTACAAATCAGGTGGAGGGAAAGAAAGAAATAGAAACACCTTACCAGGCTCTGAGTCACTCTTTTCAAGCATTCATTTCAAGTCATCTCTAAGGGCACTAAGGAGAGAAAGCCAGAAGCTCCAGCGAGGCCTGCCTTCCCTCTGCGCTTTGGTTTTCTTCTAGACCAAGGGCGCAACAAGAGGAAAAGGAAATGCCCTCAGTGTTGGGTGGGGGCAGAGGGCATGAAGCCGAGGCAACCAGAGTGCAAACTGGAGCCCAGAGATGGGAGTCTGGAGGGCCAAGAAGGGCTCCTGCTGATGGGATGAAGCCTCTATTTGGCGTAGGGGAGAGCCAGGGGTCTCCAGTTTGTGGTTCTTCCTTGGCAGAATTGAGATCTTCCATCCTTCTTTTCTCTTCAGCCCAGAGACCACTCAGGAGTTGTTCACCACGGGGAGGGCAGGTCTGTGAAGACTCCTCCTCTAACCCTCTAACACGCTGGCCACACGCTTATCCGTCCTCCAACCCTTTCTGTAGGCAAGCGGGGGCCTTGCCTCAGGGTCCTCTGCTCAGAGGGACCGATTTTAGTCATCCCTCCTCTGCCAACACAATGGCCAAGAAGCACGGAGACCCCCAAGAGCGCAATCTGGTTTCAGATCCCAGTTTTGCCACATCCTGTTACGAAACCTCCTCAGTCCTCAGTTTCTTCTTCTGTAAAATGGGGCGGTTACCTATCTCATAGGGAGGTCTTGTGAATAAACAGCAATGGTGAAATGTTTGGCATGGTTCTTATGTGTATGTATGTAACACTTATCAGCCTGGCTTTCGATGCACTGTTGCTTGAGCTTTGCACAGCTCCCCGTAAGCTTCCTAAGGGCTGTGAGCTTGAGGGGGGCTTTCTTCTGTAGTGGTGGAGAGGGGCAGGTCTCTTATGTCGCTGAAGAGCACCCCCTTCAGCCCCAAAATAATCAAACACACGGGGTTATGCTGAGGTATCTGGATGGTTCTGCCTCCAGCATGCTTTCACTTAGGCTGGACTACATATGACAAGCACTCGAAAATGTCCCAACTTGGGCCGCCTGGATGGCTCAGTCGGTTGAGTGTCTGACTTCGGCTCAGGTCACGATCTCATAGTTTGTGGGTTCGAGCCCCGCGTCAGGCTCTGTGTTGACAGCTTGGAGCCTGAAGCCTGCCTCAGATTCTGTCTCTCCCTCTCTGCCCCTCCCCCACTTGCACTCTATCTCTCATAGAAATGAATAAAAGTTGAAAAAAATTTTTTTAAAGAAAAAAAAAGAAAATGTCCCACCTTTATTTACAACCAGACCCCCGGCGACCACCCCACCCCACCCCAGCTCCTCGGCTTAGCCCTGAGAGAGAAGCAGGATGTGCAGTGACACTTCGGCCGAGCCTAGAGCTCAGGGAGGTGTGCGGGGTGAGCCCTTCACTTCTTCTGGGCTTGTGCCCTAGCCCGCTGAATTTTGTCAGCCGTGGCCCCGTCTGTGGCTCCAGTGCAGTGGGATAATACGAGGCTCAGCTCTGCTTCGTTCCTGTGCTCGATGGCCACGTCTGCAGCCTGAGCCACATCCCTGTGGTGGTGAGCAGGACAAGAGAGGGTGTCGGTCTGCCCAAGGGCACAAACCATGCCCCTCGTCAGCCCACTGCCTCAGCCACCCAGCACCCACAGGGCTCTCAGATGACACACCCAACGAGAAGCAAGGCCTTGACCTTCTGCTCCGGACCCACACGGGAGGCATACTTCTTGGCCTCATATTTGTTGTGTTGCTTCATGCAGATCTCGACAAAGGGCTAAAGAGAGGAAGTGGTGGAAGGAGAAGATAAGGCAGAGCCTTCCTATCCTCTCTCTTATGAGCAAAAGTTCAAAGGACAATTGTCCCCATGCATCTCATACATCCTCAGGTATATATAAGCCCATCCCTCCCCCTCCCCGACGGATGCAACAGTTGTGATCTCAACATCCTCAGGGCAGAAACCACTAAACCACAGATCTGTTAGTGCCTCGAGACCAGTTTATGCCTATGTGGCCACTCCACCATCTGCTGCTACCCTCTCCCAACAGAAGTCTCTTGACTTCTCAGGGCCTGTGTTTTCTCTCATGGCTGCCCTCATCCCACCTACTGATCCACCCGCCATGGAAAACAAACCTCCTCGGTGTCCTCCAACTGCCTCCCAGACAGGCCCTCCCAGTGACCACCCCCCCCCCCCCCGCTCAAACAAGCCTTTCCCTCAGGCACATGGTGTGGGCTGTGGGCCTCCTTGGGGCAAGCAGCGCATTCCTTCTCCCATCAACATCTGAGGCCTAACTGGGCCCGCTCTCCCACAGACCTGGCCCACAAGTGTGCGGACACGGGAGGCACCTGCTGACTACATGGGACAGCTGAACAGAGGCACGCAGGGGCCAACTGCCTGCCTCACTCTGGGCCTGGTCCTCTCCCCAGGACGACTCGCCCTGGCGGTGGGCCACAGGGAGGGCCCATGGCTCACCAGGTAGCCGATGGGTGATTTCTTGCTCTTTGAAAACTTCTCTAGCTCCTCCCAGTCTTCCAGATCTGCCAGGGCCGTCAGCTTCAGCCACCAGAGCCTGCGGGGAAGCTGAGCTTGGAGGTACTGCAGAAGGGCTGGCACTTCCAGGACCTCCTGCGGCCGGCTGCCCGAACCTACCTCTTGTCAGGAATGCGGAAGTCACGCGCCAGCTGCTCTGCGCGTTTGTTGTGGCCTCCGAGGATGAGAGTAGTGACCGTGTCATGCAGAGACAGGTCCAGGAACCGGCCCCCCAGCTCGTCTTCTAGGCGTCGCTGCAGCCGTAGGAGCCTCATCTGATCCTCTGTGGCCTGGGACAGAGATGAAGCAGGATGGGGATGACAGGGACAAGGAGGAAAGACCGGGAGGGAAGGAGAGGTGGTTCTTAGAAAAGAGGAAGTAGGGGCACCTGGGTGGCTCAGTCAGTTAAGCATCCGACTCTTGATTTTGGCTCAGGTCACTATCTCATGGCTCATGAGTTCGAGCCTCGCATCAGCCTCTGCACTGGCAGTGCAAAGCTTGATTGAGATTCTCTGTTTCTTTCTCTGTCCCCCTCTACTCGCACATGCTCCCTCTCCCTCTGTCTCTCTCTCTCTCCCCCTCTCTCTGAAAAATAAATAAATAAACATAAAAACAAAAAGAGAGAAAAAAGTAAGCCAAACCTTGGCTGCAAACTCGTTCTTGGCTTTGTAGAAGGCGTCAGCTGCTGTCTGCAGAGCTGCAACTCGCCCCTCGATACGCTGCAGGAGCAAGAAGGGGAGCCTGAGCTCATAGCACAAAGGAAATCAGCCATCATCACTCGGGCCACACTTCTCTCCCCGGTCCCTGTGCCCAGGGTTGCCAGGGCCAGCCTCACTCTCTGGGTGCCCCACTCCGGTGTCCCCAAGTGGGGAGGCTAGCTCCTCTGGGACCAAACACCATCCTGGCCTCATGTCTTCCCAGACCCTCCCACAGCACTGAGGGCCAGATGGGGTGCATACCGGGAGGCCTAGATCCCTGGAGAAGTAACCTGACCAACAACCCGGCCCAGGGACCCCAGACCTCCTCTGCGGCATAGCTGGCTCGGATGTGGAAGCTGCCCAGCTCCTGGTGGTTGTCATCCTGATTGTAAAGGTCCTTCAGCGTCTCTAGCTCCTGATGCTTACAGAACTAGGGCCACGAACAGGCAGGCGGTCAGCAAGGCCAACCCAGGGGCTCGAGAGGCTCCAGCTCCACCCCTGCCCAGGGCACACACCTGTCGGTACAAACTGAGGGCCATGGGCTGGTTCCGAAGAGTCATGAAAAAATCTCCTCGATTTAGCTCATTCTTCAGGTGCAGCAACACCGTGAACACTAAGGGACAATAAGGTGGTGCAGGGACTCCAGCCTGGCCCCTTGCTTAGCCCAAGGGCCCCAGCCTGGCCCTGCTCCAAACCCTGCTCACCCAGATCAGTGTCCCCACTCTCAATGGCCTTGCTCAGTGCCAGTTTGCTCCTCTTCATCTTTAGGAGAAGGGGTACCTGCTCCCCAGAGCGCGGCTCATACTCCAGCAGCTGTGGGGTGGGGAGAAAGGCACACAGAGAAGGACAGCTGGCCTGGGGCCTCTAATACCAGCATCAAAGCATCTTGACAGGGCCGGGAGCCCACACCTTGATGGCCAGCTCTGTGCGGCCACAGCCATAGGCCCGCGCAGCAATGTCAGAGTAAGAGACGCCAGGCGTGTCCCCCAGCTTCTGGTTAATGGCCCGAGCAACATCCTCATCGGACACATCCTTCTGTTGCACCTGCAGATAGAGGGGGTGGTCACACCTACCAAGATCTCAGCCTTCATCCCACGCTCCCACTTGCTCTCAATCAAGACCTACCCCTTCAGCTCTACACTTCACATTTCCTATACCTCATCAGGGCCTGGAATCCCCTAAATGCCCTTGAACCCCACCCTACATCCTTACCTTGTAGCAGGCCCAGTGGGCCAGGATCCTGCTGACGCCCTGCACTTCAGGAAGGCGCAGGTACTCACAAATCTGGATTGCCAGAGGGTAAAGCCTCCGCAACACAAGCCTGGCAGGCAAGGGGGTAAAGGGTACGAGGGTGAGGTGGGATAGAAAGAGAGGGCAGAGTGGCCCCAGCCTGTGATTCGGGCCTCCCAGATGGTAGAGAAATGGGTGAGGAGCAGTGATCACAAGAACCCAGGAGGGGCTGTGATGCCGGCCCACACACAGCCCTCCGCCCAGAACCCTGGGGTCTGCTGTACCTGTCCAGCAGCACCTGGATGGTGAGTTGCTTATACCTGTATATCACTTGGTTAAGGACTCAGATGGGAGATAAACCTTATTTGCCAAGGACTTTGAGGAAGCATCTTCAGCCCCCCCAACCCTGCCCCCGCCACCACCCTGCGGTAAACATCCTTGTAACTCGCTTGAGGATACTGGCTGTAAGTGAGGGGGATCCCAATGTGATAGTCTCGGATGGCATTGAGTACACGCAGGTCCTGACACATGCGCACGAAGCTGTCAGGTGGAAATCTGTCGAGGAAACACTTCCCAAAGGAGGCCGCCTGAGAAGAGCCAGAGGTCAAGAGAGGAGATCTTACCCCCCACACCCCTCCTGCCAGCGCATCCCCTGCCCAGCACCCACGGCCCCCAGCCCCGCTGTCCAGGCCAACCCTGAGCAGGCTCTTCTGCATGTCTGGCCGGTGCTCATGTCCCGCAGCTTCGATGCACTGCTGCACGGCCTGGGTCAGCTGCCCCAGCTCCTGGATCTCCCGGAGGTACTCATCTGCCTTCTGGCTCTCCTTCTGGGGGGTGGGAGGAGGGTACAGGGATGGTGTGCCATGTCAGAGAACACCCCATGACTGGTCCCCCACCCCTTTGGACTGTACTTCAAATGGGCTGGTTTGGAGAGGCCGCAGAGGCCGAAGCCCAAAACCCCTCAGCCCACGGTCTACCTGAGGTGCCCGTCCATCCCCCCCATATCAGCCCACAACTGCCGGTGAGGGGCCCGGATAGTAGCCCTGACTTGTGCCTGGGCTGGGGATAGTAAGGGCTCCCTGCCTCTCCCCATCGCCACATGGGGGACACCATGTCACTTCAGTGCACCCGAGCCGGCTCTCTCCAGCCCAGCATCCAGTCCAGACTCCTCTCTTGACAAGGCAGCACCTGGCTGAGTCCACCATGACCAGGTAGGGGCACAGGGCTGAGCCAATTAGGAAGGGAAAGAAGAAGATCCTGGGGCCCAGGAAGAAGCCCAGGGCTTTACCTCATACTCTTTCTGGGCCTCCAACAACAGTGCTCCAGGAGCCATCGAGGCAATTTTGAAGATCTCTTCGCTGGCCACTATGGGAGGGAGACAGTGAGGGTTAGTGGGGCAGGGAATCCTCAGCACTGCCTCAATGCCCTGATCCTGCCCTGGGTCACCTGGTGCCCTTGTGAGGGCCTCACCTGGAACCTCATGTAGGAACTCGTGGGTGCTCCGAGAGAAGATGCGGACCCCATCCAGCTCAGGCACCAAATAGGAGTCTTCATCCAGCACAAACCTGAGCTTGGTCAAGGTTTCCAAGAGCATCCGGAAAGGGGGTGGGGCAGGTGAACCTCCCTCTTCCCCTTCCCCCTCCGGCCCCACAGCCCTCCAAGGATACTGGATGCTCTCAGGCGCATCACCCACCACCATTAGCCGCCTCTCCCAAGCCACCACAACGGCCCTCTCTTTGCTGCGAGGGCGGCTGCACCTGTGGGCAGCATCACACACGTGTCTGGGACACAGGACATCGGGCCCACAGCCACCTCTCCCATTCTCCCACATCACCGCTTACATCACTTTGCCTTGGGACAGCCCTGCACATATATGCTACCCCTTATCCCCTTCTCTGACATCTGCTGCCCTCTCCCCCCGTGCTGTCAGCTCCCAGGGGTATCTGGGGCCCACGGGGGGGGGGGGGAGGGAGGGGTTCCCTCAGGTATGCCGTGGCAGAGAAAATAAGAGGCAAGCTCCACCTGGTTTGGCCAGGGGACAGGATGAATCAAGCAGTTCCAGGAAACAAGGCTGTGCCCACCCCCAGCATGACACCCCCATCCTCACCAGACCATCTGCTTCGGGGGTGCCCGGATGTTACAGTTGAACTCACACAGCTTCTCCTGAAAGGGTACAGGACACACCACGGCCTTGTCTCAGTAGTTACCAGTCTGGTTGAAAAGCCCCAACCCTACCCCTAGCAGATCATTCCTGGACAAGGCAGGGCGCTCCGTGTCATCCCGGGATCACACCTTGAGTGACGCTGTCCCCATCCAGATGTAGCCTGTGTCCGTGAAGAGCGCCAGGTGCCGGCAGGTGAAGGAGACAGCCATTTGCAGGAAGCTGCTCACTCCTGGCGCCAGGCCAGAGGGCGTCTGCGGCAGGCCGCGGAGGACACCAGGTGACTTCTCAGAGCTTCCCCACTGCCTCCCTTGCCCCTTTCATTTCCCTCGCACCCCGGGCCCTCACCACTGCGGAGCACGCTGACTGGTCCAGGAGGTAAAGATCAGGCCCCACAGCCAGGAGAATGTGTGCAACTCGGTCCTGGCAGAGTGTGGTCCAGCACGAAGGTGCGCTCTGCAGCCCTGTGACCGGAGAAGGGACAGCTTCAGGATGACCAGAGCGCACGACCTCTGCCTCTGTTGGCACAGAGTCTGGAGGCACATCTGTGGGCACTGAATGGCTGTCTCAGGGATGTCAGGGCTCACCTGGCACCTCTGGCATCCGGCGGAGTTTGAGATCACTGACGTTGGCGCTGAGAGTAAAGCGGTGGGCACCGGTGAGGATGGCCACCCCCGAACCAAACTCTGTGTGGAAGATCCGGGCATCTAGAACCCGGTTCTGGAGCACCTCCTGGGGAGAGGGGCCGAGAGTTGAGGGAGCCACAGAGTCCCAGACTCCCTCCCCTTCCCCAGCCCCCTGTGGCCCCTACATTGCCCATGCTGAAGTGTCTCCGGAAATCGCCATGAAGCCCATACACCAGCACTGCGCCATCTTCCTGCACACACAGCAGCTCCTCCTCAGCTGACCAGCCTAGGGACACCACGGGCCCGCTCTTCCACTGCAGAGGACAGGGAGGTTCCTTAGGCTGCCCTTGGGCACAGACCCGGCCTAGCCCCAAGGCAGGTCAGGCGTGCTCACCAGCAGGCTGGCCAGAGGCAGGCCGGAAGCAGAATAGATCTCAAGCACTGGCCGTACGCTGGCAGCCTTCTCCTTCCGCCATGGGTTCCTCAACAGTGCTGCGGTTTAAGAAGAGATTTTCTGTCCAGCTCCCCAGGCCCACCCCATACAAAGCAGGCTTCAGGAGAACCAAAATTCAAAGCATCTCAGCAGGGGGGTGAGAGGTGGGGGGAATCAGAGTGGCACACATCAGCAAGAACCACCTGACAGCAAGGCCCCCAAGAATCATGGACCTTGAGTCCACCCTAAGGTCCCAGAGCATGCAGTGGCAGAGGGGTGACATACCAATGGGGCCCCCGTAGGGCGCAGCAGCTACCAGGCAGTCCCTGAGCTCCTCCTTCAGGTCCCAGTCCATGCTGTACAGCTCATATTTCCTGCCCATGCAGAGCAAGCAGAGATTAGCCTCCTCGTGACCCCACGTCCAGATGGGAGCGAGCCCCAGAAGAACCCCTAAAACCTCCATTTGCCCTTCACAAGGCAGCTGAGGCCCCCCCCCCCACAGGTGGGAGAGAGTGATGCCTAGAAACAGCTAGAGCCACTGACCACATGCACACGTAAGACCAGCAGGTGAGGGAGCAGGGGGCGGTGGCAGGGCAGGATGTGGTGCTTGGGGCATTTGTCTGAGGATGGCAGGAGCTCCTAGCACAAGAGGCTGGCTGTGCAACCGAAAACCAGGTAGGGCTAGGTAAACTAAGAGAGGACTAGGGTGGGGTGGCTGGCTTTGGGCCTGCATTAGCAGGAAATAAGACCCTCTAAGAGGGCCTCTCAGGGCAGGCAGACTTTCTTCTATGTCTGTTTTTTTTTTTTTAATGTTTATTTATTTTTTTGAGAGAGAGACAGAATACAAGTGAGGGAGGGGCAGAGAGAGAAGGAGACACAGAATCTGAAGCAGGCTCGCGACTCTGAGGTGTCAGCACAGAGCATGATGCGGGGCTCGAACCCACGAGCCGTGAGATCATGACCTGAGCCGAAGTGGCCCGCTTAACCAACTGAGCGACCCAGGTGCCCCTATGTCTGGTTCTTAACACCAAGTCAGGTTGTGGGCTTTACAGCCAGGGGTCCAGCTCAACACTTACTGATAACGAACTCAGTTTTAGAGTCACTGAGTTAGCACTGGCTGAGAGAAATCCAAGAGGAGCTCTCCGGTGAGTCCAGAGCTGGGGACAGAGCCCTGGGTAGACGTCAGTCTCTGAACGCTCAGTTTATGGGAGGCAACAAAAATCACAAGCCCACAGGAGATGGCTGCAATCTGAGATGTGAGGGTCACCAAGGGCACACTGTGTGAAGACAGTGTGGGACACCCGACACATGCTGTCATTTGATGGCTCAAGGTGGGGACAAGGGGACAAGGAAGGAATGAGCGCTATCCCAGGAAACCAAAAGGCGGCAGTATTTAAGGGGAGTGTTTCCTACAGTATCATTTCCAGCGTCATCCTGATAAGAATCAGAAAGATGCCTACCATTATTTTCTATCTGACATTCTTTTTGGGATTCTAGCCAAAATAACTTAAGAAATAAAAAAAGAGAAGTTTATATTTTGGAGAAGGAGTGAGTTTGCTCTATTCACAAATAATGTGATTGTCTACTTAGAAAATCCAAGGCAGGGCACGTGGGTGGCTCAGTTGGTTAAGCATCTGACTTTAGCACAGGTCATGATCTCGCGGTTCGTGAGTTCGAGTCCCGCATCAGATGACTCGAGCCCCACTTCAGGTGAACACGTGCTCCACTTTGGGTAAAAACATGAGCCCAGCTTCGAGTGAACCATGCTTCTCTCTCTCCCCCCCCCCCTCAGCCCTAGCCCGCCATCTCTCTCTGCCTCATGGGATTCTCTCTTTCTCAAAAAAGAAAAAAAGAAAGAAAAAGAGAAAAGAAAATCCAAAGCAGTCTATGGAATAATGAACAAAAGAGCTCAGTAGGGCAATCAACAAAAACCTATATATTTTCTATACCAATAACTTTTCTATATCATGGCAAGAATCAATTAGAAATATAACTCTAAAAAATCCTAATCATGACAGCAATAAAATGACAATAGGCAAGAATAAACCTAATAAAAATTTTTACAAAATAAAATCATAGGGGGGAAAAAAAGAGAAGCAAACTAGGAAATAAGACTCTTAACTACAGAGGACAAACAGAGTCACTGGAGGGAAGGTGGGCAGGGGAATGGGTGAAATAGGTGATGGGCACTGAGGAGGGCACTTGCTGTGATGAGCACTGGGTGCTGTATGTAAGTGATCCATCACTGAATGCTCCATCTGAAACTAATATGACACTGTATGTTAATGAACTGGAATTTAAATAAAAACTTGAAAGCAAAAACTAAAGTTAAAAAAAAAGCAAAGGACATAGAAGACATGAAGAAACATTCCAGAATGATCTATGAATACACAAGAATTCCAATAAAAAATCACTTCCAATTTTGGGGGGGCTGGGAGAGCAAACTGATTCTAAAACTCATTTGCAGAAAAAAATATCTTAAACAGAAGATGCTGGAAAATATTTTAAAATATTTTGAGAATAAAAGAACAGATATATATCAGATATCAAATACACTATATAAAACTAAAGTTGATTAGAACTGTTGTTTTGGCACAGGAATAAGCAAATAGATTGATGGAAGAGTAAAGAGTCCAGAAAAAGAACTGGGCATTGAGCATGTAATAGAGATGGCATTTCAAATTGTTGCAAATTGATACTTGAAATGAGACAATGGGCCATATGGAAAGAATTGCCATGAACACTATTTCATTACTTAATCTCTACAATGCAATATTTTCCAGATGGAATTCAAAATTTGAATGTTAAAAAAAAATAAAGCCATATCAGAACAAATCTTGGCTATTTTTACACTCTCAAAATAGAAACAATTTCTAAGCATGATACATAACCCAGAAGTCACAAAAAAAAAGAAAAACAAATGAGTCTAAATAACAAGGACTTCTGTAAATTTCTATATAAAAAGGGATAAAAACAATACATATGTTTTGTATTTGCTTCTATTTGGGGAAAAAAAAAGAAATTCTAAAAAGACTTCTAAGAGTCTAGTAACTGGTTACTGGTAGGTGAGGGGGTGGAATCTAGTTGAATAGGGGCAGGGATGGAAATGGGACTTTTGAGTTTTTAAATCACTTGAATGGTTATTTATTAAAATGATTAACATTAAAAAACTTTTATAGATTAAAAAAAATCCACCAAAGACAAACTACGAAGACAAATGATGAAAAGGGGGAAATGTCTGTGACACATGTGGAAAAGAGGTACTTTTCTTAAAAATACAAAAGGCTCTGAGTCATTTTCAAAAATGAACATAAAACCAAAAGAAAATAAAAATGGTCAAGAGCTATGATCATACCATTCTATGTGAAAATATTTAAAAACTAAACATAAAAACCTTGAGAAAATATGAGCTAATATTTTTATAATGTGAACTATGGCAAAGTCTTTCAGTGCAAGACACAAAACCTAGAAATTATCAAGGAAAAGAATGATAGATTTTATTACATAAAAATTAAGATTCTGTATATTAAAAATACATAAGAGTCAAGTGACCTTTGAGTCCTCCCCCAAACCCTTGAAAATCCCCCTTCAGTACCGCGCCAGTTAAATAAACTATGGGAGTCCCTATCCTGGGAAATATTATGTGGCCATCGATAAGCTGAGTCTGTGTACTGACATGAGTGATTTCTAGATGTCCTGTGAAATAACAGCAAAAGTAAGGTGCAGCTCAGTAGGAACCATAGTAACCTATTTATTTTATACAAAAACTGAGTGCATACTTCTGACAAGCATATTTACATACAATTACATGTAAGTGTGTAAATACATGGAAAAACGCTCAGAGACACGAAGCTGAATCCAGCCAGAGACAGTGTGTGCCTGTGGGGAGGGTGGTGAATGAAGGAGGGATGTTGGGGGACTGACAATTTTTAGACTTTTGCATTATTTGCATTTTTGATAACCCATATGCACTTTTTGACATTTTGTTACTAAAACCATCCCATGAAAATCTGATGGGAAAATAGATGTTCACACGGACCTAGCACGCCGGTTATCAGTTTATTGCCACTTAGCTCCAAATTCATCCTCCAAAACTGTTCTGTGAGAACAGACTGCATTTCTTGATGTATTTCTCCTTCATGGTGTGATCTTCGTCTCTCCCAGTAGAGGGCGCTTGGAAGGATGCTGCTCAAGGAACCGGCCCTCTGACTGCTTCCAGTCGGAGTTCACCTAGAATCACCTTCCCAGAATCACCACACTCCTAGCCTCCTGCCCATACCAGGCTCTACTTCCTCTGCTGCCAAGGTGCCTGCCTGTCCACTGGCTACCCTGCATGTGCCCTTGTGTTTCCACTGACCCCCTCTGCACACCTGCGCACCCAACCACTGCTTGTGGCTCAGCTTACAGACACCACTTGCTCCCGGCTGCCTCTGCACCATTACTACTATTCCATCCCGTGCCCACACGCTTGGCCACCAGCTGCAGCTCGCCTGTGTCCCCCTACCTTCTGAACTCCAGAGTGTTGCTTCTTGCTTGCCCAGCAACTGGGGACTGGCCCTGGCCCAGGCAAACCAGTGAACTCCTCTACTCTCCAGTGGGCTGCAATTGTTATTTTCTCCAGCAAGATCTGAACTCTAGCCTGAGGAGGGGCTTCCCTTCCAAGTCTGTCATTCCTTGGGAACTCTCCATCAGCCCTATGTGATCATACAAAACTTGCTTTTATCTTATATTTACTTTCATCACAGTTTAATAATTCTTCATGTTTACTAAACTCTCTCAGTTTAAGTGTCCCAGCTGGGGTGACTTCTGTGCCCAGATGTATGGCAATAATGGTGTTTATAAGGGCTTGGGATGGGGACAGATTATTTTGAGTGCACTTGAACATTTACAAAGAGAAAATGACAAGTTTGGGCCCATTAACTTTTAGCTCAAGTCATGGTCTGAGAAGCAGAAAGCCTCCATTACAGCCCTAACAGAATCTCTTCTTTGTTGTGGCCACAGAGCCTCTTACTGCTAAAAATCAAGCACAAAATTTAATTGTGTGGGTTGTTAAATCATAATAGTTGAATTCACCAGCACACTATTTCTCGTGTGAAAATTAATGGCACTGATGAGGAAAAGAACTGGATCCTGAAACCTGTGAACGGTGGAAGCAGGTTGCCTTCCTGTGTCCAGGGAGACTAGCCTTTGGCTGCTGGAAACCCCTATGGTAACCTCACTAGGGGTAGGTGTCTTGGAAGCCTCCTTACCCAAGGCTGAGCTGGCTAACACTACTGTGGAGTGGCTAATCTGCCCACAGCAGAGACTGCTATCTGATCCCAATATGGCACCATTCCTGGGGGGACCAGCCTGCAAGCTGATTATGTATGACTTT